TCATGGATTCCTATCAGTCTTATGTTATTCTTCTTTGCACCATCTAGGAGTTGTTGGATCGATTTCTCATGGTTCCTTACTATTTTTAAGAGATCTCTCTTTTCATGGTCATTGACTGCAATCATATCTTCTGTATCTGAAATTCTATCTTCTCATTTGTTCATTCTGCTGTGAATGCTTTCAGTAGTGTTTTTAATCTCCTGGATATCTGTTTGAAACTGTTTCATGGTTTCCATTTCTTTCCTATGTTGGGCATTCATGGTTTCCATTTCTTTCCTATGCTGTGCATTCATGGCTTTTATCATGGACCTGAACTCCTCTATTTTTATTTTTTTGGCTGTTTTGGTTCTAAAGTCTCTAGTCATTGTGCTCACCATGTCTGTAGTTATCTGGGAAATTATTTCTGTTTTGTATTTTTCTAGCACCCAATCGAACTGTTTTGTTACTTCCTATGCAATGAGTATAGGGTGTCCTGGTGATTGATTGTCAGACTTTTCCCACCTTGTTTCCCTTAGAATTTACTGTTGGTGAACTGCAAGTCTGTATTTGTGCCTTGGTTAAGTGTTTTCTCATTTTTATTTTTGTTGTTGGGCTTTCCTTGTTTTAATTCCTGGGTTAATACTTTGATTTTCTTGATATAGCTGGACTTTAGGTTTTGAGTTTCTAATGACTCAGGGACACTCTCATTGTCATAATATTGGGAAGGACAATTGATTACATCAATCACAACCCTTTAGCCCAGTTGATACAATCAGCAACAAAGTAGCATCAAGCCCAGTTTAGAAATTGACCATTTGTGGTTGTTATTAATCTATCACCTTTAGCCATGTGAATTAAATCAAAATTGAGGACCAGCTTCAAATATGATGTTTATAGTTAATAAATTCTTCAATATAGCAACTTTACCCTTCAGGATGGGGACTCAGAAGGAATTAGGTGGAGAGGAATAATTAGGTAAAATAATAGGAGAAGGTTTCAGGCAAAGCCAGAGGACACAGTATGATCATGCAAACTCTAGGTAACTGTTGAAGACAAGAGGGAAAGACAGAGTGCGAGAACAAAGGCAAGAATAGAACAATGTAACAGTAATATGGAAGTTATAAATTGTACTCACTTTCCTTTGAAACTAATGACAATGGAGTGAAGGAAAAAGAGAAAAGAAAAAAAAGAAATATGAAATCCACATTAGGGTAGGAACAGGAACAGAAAGTGAGATGAAGAATAAGGTGGGGGAACAAGAGATTGGGCAAAAGAAGAAAGAATAAGGAAGAATTTGAAGAATGGGAAAATAACATTTAAAAAATAAAAATTAAAAATTAAAAGGAGGAGGAAAAGAAAGAAAAAAAACTTGAAGAGCCCCTTTCAGTTGTATCTCTGCTGTCACAATAGACATTGTGGGCAGCATTGTGCACAACTAAGTCAGTTAGTCTCAGCTAGCCAGTGGCAGACCCCTGAGGTTCAGGCTGAATTCTGGCTGCAAGGCCCAGGTTGAGCCTCCTGACATCCTGCAAGATTGAATTCTGCAAGGTTCTAATACAGGTTCCAGCTGCCCTTCCCCTGAAAATAGTCCAAGTTCCCTCCAATTTACCAGCTACAGAAGTCTGATGTGCCTTTATTGCAGTTATTCATTTCTGTTCTATCTTCTGGACAAATGGCCTTTATGACCATCTGTACCTCTGCAGTGTGGATCCAGATACCAGCACAACCAGAAGACCTAGAGCACATGTGTTTGGGGGGAATGTTGCAGAGGCCCCTGTGTGGCTGGGCAGTCATCACCAGTCTGCTCTGATGAAGGCCCCTCTCTCTTTCTCTTTTTAAATGTACTTCTTTGTCCTTTGAATATAGTTTAATCATCCATATCTTTCCACACTTGTCCCTTGTCTTTGTTTACTCAAGTTTCAAAGCTTAGTCAAGACAAATCTCATCCTATAACTGTTGTTTTTAAGAATATTTAAAAATTTTCCCCTTGCTTGGATCTTCTGTAACACTTATAGTTTGTATAATGCACCTCATCATTCAAAGCTTTTGAAACCTTTTGGTAACTAGGAGGATTTGGAGGGTATTAAATGCACATTAGTGTAGTAATATTTGCTGCCTGCATACTACACGAATACTTAGTGATGTGCTAGTCATAGTAGTCGGTAAAATAATTATAAAGCATACTACTTGGTTCTTTTCTTAGTAGGAAATATTATATCTTCTTGGGAACACCAGCAATTACACATCTAATCCTAATCTGCCATGTGATAGTGTAAGAAAATATTGCATGTGGGTATTAGAAGTGCTTCATACACTTAGAAATTTAATTGTTATTTGTTACTTTTAGAAAGTTAGCAATGGGGTTTCTAGAAAAATTATTGAATTTAGCCAAGGACACAGATTTTTCAGTAAATTATCTCTAGCCATAGCAGCAAGGAGATACAGGCTGAGTATCCCTAACCTTGAGATTTTTAGAGTAGGATGCTTATCCAGTAAAGGTTATGCAATTATTCTCAAGTCAAGTAAGCTCTAAAATTTTAAACAGCATTTGCCCCAGGCATTTCAAATGAAGAGCAGTCAACCTGCACTTTGTTTTGTTTGATTAACATTTCATTTAGTGTACAAGAAATATTTCCAGTAAAAGAAAAGTATAAATTAATAGTGTAGTTTTCTAATTTAAAGAGCTCAGAAGTTTAATTCTTAAGTATTTGTTTAATTTGGTAATATTTTACTGATTGTAATATGTTTGAAGAAAAGTGAGCTTTTTGATATGTATGAACTTAAAAATTGATTGAGTCTTGTGATGGAAGTATTTACAGAACAAATGCTTTGTCAATGCTGCAGAACCCTTGATGTGGGTTATGCCTTCGTGCTTGGGTGTTAGTGATGGGCTTGAAAGGCTGCTGATGCACTCTGATGACTGAGTCTGAGGGCCTACGTCAGCCTGAGAGGGCCTTCTGGTCCTTTATGTACCTTTCCTACACCAGCAGTTGTGGGTCTGTGGAGGGATTCACTTGGTGTCTATCTCATTTTGGCTCATGAAGAAAAAGGTCATCCTTATTTATACTCTCTTTTTACTTATGAAAGATATCGCTTATGTGATAAAATAAGGAAGTTTCTGGAAAGTGGGGACTTCTCAGACCTCTCACACCAAATAGAGCACTCGATATCATACCTGTCACATAGCGAATATGTAGCCCCTGTTGTCAGCACCTACAAAACTTTGTCATCCAGGGCCCGTGTGTTAGCTCAGTGCCTAGCATGTGCAGGGCCCTGGCCTTAACCCCTAGTGATACAAAAATGAATAAATAAACAGACAAATGAATTAAATTAAAAATAAATAAGTGAAAATAAATTCAGCATAGGAAGAATTGTTTTTATGTTTCCAGTGTTAAAATATAAATTGCCTAAAATTTAATTTGTTTTTTAGTGTTTTCTTAATTCATACACACAATTTATGTGTTCTTTTTTTTCTCATTGAGTTTATTGGTACATTTTAGGTATACAGTACAGTTACATTTGTTACTGGGATCTTGTACCTTTACGACAGGTCTTTTTCTCATTTTTTCCCCTTACCCCTGCTCTCCCTTCACCAGCTCTTCCCCTCCTCATTTGCAAACACTTTATTTCCATTTTTTCCTTTTCTCATATTTTTTCTTTTCCCTTATTCCCTTTCCCCTACCCTTCCCACTTTCCCTACACCTTTAGCCCTTTTCTTCCTATTTCACATTGTCAATTATACCATTAGGATCTTATGTACTATTATAGTTTTTCACACGAGAGAAATTATTCTGTATTTACAGATGTGTGACTTATGTATTTCACTTAGGAGTTTATCCTCAATATGTATCCATTTTCCTATGAATGAATCTAATTTCTCATTCTTTATGGCTGAGTAGTACTCCATCACAATTTATGTGTTCCGAGAGTCTTAACTTATTAACTTTCCCTATATGTTAAACTGTATTGCCTTTCATTGTGTGCTAATTTATATTTGCCACCAAGCTGATGAATGGTCCTTGTTATTTACCCATGTTCAGTAACTACTGAGAACTTCATTAAGGGATCAACTACTAATGGTGACTAGTTACCATTTTCTGTATCTATCCTTTCACCTATTAGGCTTCTTTCTTCACTTCCTTTTCTTTCCCTCCCATTTTTATTGGCCAAATTCTACTTGCAGCCTTAATCGAGGGAGGCTATTTTTACTAAGATACACAAAAATGGTTGTGATAATTTTAAACTACATTATACCATCACCCCTGCGAAGTCCCTGTGATTGAGGCCAAGTCGCGTATTTCTGTTACACTGTGGTACTCCTCAGTTGAGGATAGACAGTGGACAATCTATATATTTGTGGCAATTGGTTTGATCTTAAATCATGGCTTACACATGCATCAAGATGTGCTGACCTAAAATTGGCCCATTGTTTGGTCTTGTGGGAAGGTCATTGTCTCAAGCAGGAGACTTTCACTTAAAGGATTCTGTAGTACTCTGTGAACTAGAACTGACCGCAGATGGCTAGCTGCCATATCTAAGAGCAAGATGGGCACAAAATATTTTAGTGATGAACGTTTTCAGATGGCAAAAGCAATAAACACCTGGAGGAATTAAGGGACTGACAAATTCCGAGTAACAAAATAAATGGGATTGTTAAATATGAGTACCAGGTGGGCACTGATGTCGGGGTTATTTGTATCACTTTTGTCCCTATGTAAACCATAAAACAGGCTGGCTGCTGACCAGAAACTGCAGCTGTGTAGCCCCAGAAAAACACAAGAACCAAGAAGACAAAGAATGATGATAGGCTTAAAGTCTTTTATAGTTTTATATATGAAAGGGAAAATAAAATTGTTGATGTCTTAGGCCTGGGGCCAAAAGTGCTGACAGATCTCCTTAGCTGGGGCTACAAAAGTGGTTAGCAGGCCTAGGAAATGTCGAAGTCTTACAAAACAGCCAGGAAACTTCTAAAATGGCAGTTCACATTCATATTTCACACACTGTCTTCTTTTTCCTTCTAGTGTCCGAACACTTCCTCTCTTCCTATGATATTGACTGTAGTTTGGAAACCAAGAAGGAGGTGGTCCAATGCATGGGCTCTTTCCAGGATGGTGTGGCTGAGAAGTCTGTGGATTATTTCCAGAGATTCAGGCGTTCCACCCATGTGACTCCCAAATCATACCTCTCCTTTATTCAGGGCTACAAGTTCATATACGGGGAGAAGCATTTAGAAGTGCAGACCTTGGCCAACAGGTAGGTGTGAAGTTCAAATAAAAGTTATTTTAAAGCAATGATTCTAAACTTAGGACAAAAGTGCCCTTTCTGGGCATCTTGCAATGACTGGAGGCGTTTTTTATTTGTCATGAATGGAGTGATGGTAGTCGGGTGAGTGCTTATTAGCATCTAAGGGGCAGGGGAGAGAGATGTTGCTAAACATTCCACAGGGCCCAACACCCCTGCTCCCAGCCAGGAATTATCTAGCCCAAAATATCAGTAGTGCTGAGGATGAGAAATTCTTGTAGAGCTCATCCTGGGGACTCTTCCACGGTTCCTGGGGACTTTATTGTTTCTCATAGGATAAACTCTTGCCAAGTTTTGTGTGGTCTTCCTCCTTTTATGATATCAGTGAAATAATGATAGGAATAACAGATCTGCAAGTAAGTTGAGGCTGACAGCATGCCTGGATTCCTCCTTGCATCCCTCTCATCCTCTCAGTGACCAAGGTAGAAGAGCCTGGCTCATGCCTATGTTCACTGCTTAGTACAATCCCTCTCCACTCAGTTTTGCTCCAGATTTCATGGCTTTGCCTTGTGTTTTTCTGCAAGCTCACATCTGCCTGGACGTAGCTTCATTCAGCCGAGGTTGCCATGGAAGAGATCCCTGGGTGGGTGACTGGACTAAGTGACTCTAAGGCTTCCATTCTTAAGAACGTGTTATTTCAGGTTCACGCAGGCAGCTAGTGCCTTCCCGGGGCTGTCCTGATGGCTTTAAATTAGTTTCTTTTCTTGAGCCTGTCTGCCTTTTAACTTCATTAGATTCTTTTTTTCTCTCATAGAGTTTATTGGTACATTTTAGATACACAGTACAGTTACATTCATCATTGGGCTCTTGTACCTTTACATGACAGGTCTTGGTTCTCATTTTTTCCCTTTACCCCTGCCCTCCCTTCCCTATTTTCAAATACTTTATTTCCATTTTTTAATTTTCTCATTTGTTTTCTTTTCCCTTATTTCCTTTCCCCTACCCTTCTTTTGAAAAACAGAAGTTATTTATTTTCTTTCTTCCAAGATAAGGCTTCAAGGATTTGAAGTCTGTTGTCATTTGGCTTAATGTCCCTGAGCACATTTCCTGCATGATACGCTGCTATACCATGCCTCATGTCATGAGCTTGTCTCAGTGGGCTCTCTCTTCCCTGTGTGTGGCCAGTGAAGACATGCACATTGTCAGGCTGGAACTTAACTTGGACTTATATCTTCTCTGTGAAGTCCTGTTGGGTTTTCTGTTTGTATGCACACTCATTCTTTTTTTTTAAATTAAGTTCATCAGTACATTTTAGGTATACAGTACAGTTACATTCATCATTGGGGTCCTGTACTTTTACATGACATATCTTGGTTCTTATCTTTTCCCCATTCCCCTGCCCTCCCTTCACCCACTTCACCCTCCCCTATTCACGAAGATCTTGTTTCCATTTTCTCCTTTTCTTCTATTTTTTGTTCTCCCTTCTTTCCTTTCCCCTACCCCTCCCATTTCCGCTAACCCTTTAGCCCTTTTCTTCCTATTTCACGTTATCAGTTATAAATTTTGATTCTTATTTACACTTGTAGTTTCTCATACTAGAGAAACTCTTTGGTAATGTGCATGCATTCTTTAAATGGGACCATTCTCACAGTCCTCATCAAACATGACCAAGCACCACAGATTTCAGCATTGCTTGCTTGCGTTTTTAATCCAGAATGAATACTGGACTGGAAAAACTAAAAGAAGCTTCAGAATCAGTGGCAGCCCTGAGCAAAGAACTGGAAGTAAAGGAAAAGGAGTTGCAAGTGGCCAATGATAAAGCTGACATGGTAGGTGGACGTCCCTACGTTCTCGTCTGCCTCTGGAATTCCCGGGTCACAAATGTTATTGGTGCTTTCGTGCTCACTACATCATCACCATCATTACAACCATGGAACTATGTATGTTTACTTCCATTAGAATAACTTACGCTTAACTTTATGTGCGAAAAATTGGGTGAGTGGATAAAATTGACAAATCAAGGTAAGAAGGTATGTTTTCCTGCTGGATCTTTGGCAACTTTTGGTGAGTTTTAAAAATTATTTTATATTGAATTAGGTCTTAAAGGAAGTGACAATGAAAGCACAGGCTGCTGAAAAAGTCAAGGCTGAGGTGCAGAAGGTGAAGGACAAAGCCCAGGTCATTGTAGACAGCATCTCGAAAGACAAAGCTATTGCTGAAGAGAAACTAGAAGCAGCAAAGCCAGCTTTAGAAGAAGCAGAAGTCGCACTGCAGGTAAATCTGTGTGACTGATGTGACAGGTGCACTTTTTGGCATCTAAGATGTGAGGAAAAATTAGTTGACAAGAAGGAAATGCTTTATTTGGTCAGATCACAGCCCTAACCACTGGAATAATTTCAAGTAATATTTTCTGCTTTGAGACTTCATTAATTCTATGTAGATTTTTGTATGTGCAAAATAACACCTATCTTATTTTCCATACTCACAAACAATGAGCATTTTTATGGAACAGTGGCCAGGAATCCTGGGTTAAATTTCAAGTAATATTTTCTGCTTTGAGACTTCATTAATTCTATGTAGATTTTTGTATGTGCAAAATGACACCTATCTTATTTTCCATACTCACAAACAATGAGCATTTTTGTGGAACAGTGGCCAGGAATCCTGGGTTCTCAGTTAAACTCTGTCATGAAAAAGCTGTGTGACCTTGGAAAAGTAACATGAGCTTTCTGAAACAACATTTTCTCCTTCGTTCATTCAGAACAGCGCTAGGTGACATTGGATATGGAACTCTTCTGAGTTTACCCAGGAAGTAAATGTGTACTGGTCCAGTGTCAGCGGATGAATCACAGAGTGGGAGCAGGTCTCAACCCAATTAGTGCACGTCTGTGGCGATTATAAAAATGGCGAAATGACGAAGGAGGCTGTATGCTGAAAAATGTGATGTGTTCAGTGAACTAGGCCACACATTAAAGAGCTGTTCTATAGTTGAAGACTTAATCTAAGATTTGTTTTGGTTGGAATTTAAGATTGCTTTTACTTCAGCCTCACTCATCTACCTCCCAGTGTCATTGAGTCTTGGCTTAGAAATGCCTGGGAGATGGAATCCGGGGGTCTGTCCTCTGCTAACTGAAGTTGTTTAACTTCAGTGGAGCATGTGTCATTCCTTGATAATGCAGTTATATTTTCTTATCAGTTCTTTAGCATGCTGCCTGAAACACTTCTAAACATTTTTGATCCAAGTGAAGTTTTTCATCTTTTTGAGCCAATGCATAACATGTTTCTGCTCTTTTGAGACAATGAAGATGCCGTCTTCTCATCTATCTCTCCAACTTTGCACACTACTCTTGCCCGTAACATGGATTCCTAAATGTTCCCTCAGTTCCTCTGTGCACTGGCTCCATTGTTGTCCTTAATTCTGGTCTACAGCTTCTCAGATTTGTGAACATCTCCACATTCCTCTTTCACCAGTCTGAGTCTTTGAGTAACATAGAGCAATGATAGCACACTGAAACTTTGAAACTTTTGAAACTTTGCTGAATTCATGATGCCTAATGGAGCCACGGGACTATAGTATATGGCATTTCAGGTCTTGCTTGAAAGATCAACATTTCTGTAAGATTTAAGATACTTTGTATCTCTTTTAAAATGTTTTCCAGTGTTTTCATTTAGCGCTTTCTGCCTCCAAAATATGCTGCGCCATGTGATCCTTAGTGCAGAAATGTGTAGGAGCAGGTAAGGGGAAGGGTAGTGTGTTAGTGTTTCTGACTATAGCAAAATACTTGAGATGATCAACTGATGAAGAGAGTGGACTTACTGGCTCACAGCTTTGGAGGTACTGGTCTGTGAGCAGTTGGCTCTGTTGCTTTGGGCTGATTGAAAGAATGCGAAGGAGCAAAACAGCTCGGCTCATGGCCAGGAAGCAAAGGAAGAGAGAAGGGGTCAGAGCCTCAGCATCGTCTTCAGGGGCCCCACTAGGCCCCCCATCCAGAAGGGTCCCTCACCTCCCAGCATGGCTACCCTGGTGGCCAAACCTTTAAAACATGGGCCTTGAGGGACATTCAGCTTCCAAGCCAAGGCAGGATATATAGGAGAAAGTTTTCTAATTTTCTTCACCGGTCCTTCTTCCATATTACTGTCCCTCTGTAGCTTTTGAAACCTTACGAGGTTCTATTGTTTTATACAAGATAGTTGCGAGCACATCCAAACTCTAGTATTTTGGCATCAGGCCACATTAATTTACACCATAAGTAAGGTAACAGAAAAGAATGTGTTCCTCCCTAATGCAATGCTTAAATCTGACCTTTAACTGGAAGAAAATGTAAAAAATATCTCCATAAATGTTGGATTACCATGATGTATAGGAGATGACATAACAGTCATGTTATTTTCCCTGCAGACAAAGGGTTCACTGAACCAAGCTGAATCTCAGAAATAGCACTTCCACTAACCGTGAGCCCAGATCTGTTCAAAAATATTTCTTTTTGAAGCTAAAGCAAGAAAGCATGGCCAGGCCATATATTTTGTAGAATTTAACCTGACCTTCCTCTCCCGCCAGCTGCTGTTCTGTTTTCCTCCTTTTATTCAATAGCTACACATCTCAAGCAAAGGTCGGTCATTTTCAATTCTTCACCACAGATTTTTCCCTAACTTCTTTCTCTAGCTTGCATAAGTGCAAGTGGATTGCAGCAAACCTTCCCATGGTATACGGTACAGTCTGAATGATCAAGTTCAATGTGTTGTGCGTTTTCAGTATTCAGAGGAAAGATCATTAGCTTTGATGAGAAAGTCATCGGTTCCTTTCTTTTTAAAAACAATAATTTTTAAAATATTTTTTATTGGTGCATCTTAGGTATACAGTCCAGTTCCATTCACCATTGGGATCTTGCACCTTTACATGACAGATCCTGGTTCTTATTTTTTCCCCTTGTCCCTGCCCTCTGTTCCCCTCTCCACCCTTCCCTGTTTACAAAGACTTTGTTTCCGTTTTTTTCCCTTTTCTCTTATTTTTTGTCTTCCCTTGTGACAGGAGGGAGCAAATGCAAACAAAGTAGAAGGTATTCAAGGAACGAGATGTACCATGTTTTTTCCTGGAACTAGGACTGTGGTGGGCTGTTACAGCTCATAATTTTCCAATACTTATTTCAGAAAAATTGAAGAGCTAGAGTGATTGTTATCAACTAAAATAAGTGTGATTATTAAGTTATTTACTCGATATGAATATCCCTACTAGAAATGGAATGGAAGTTTTCTGATAGCCTTATGAAATTTATGTTGCTGAAGTCCTGTCGTTTAAAGGTCAGTTCCCAGCTAAGAAACTTCTAATTAGTCAGTGTGACAGCCCTGCCGGCACCCTGTGGGGTCACTCCACAGTGCCAGTCTCACTTGCCTGAGAGAGGCAGATTCTTGACCTACATAGCTAACGAGTAAAAAAATAAAGCACTGCAAATACAATATTTTTCCTGGTTTTGAACCTATTATCTACTTAAATGCTGAGTATTCTTTTTTTTTCCAGATTACATTTTTCTTTTCTCTTTTTCTTTTTTCTGACACAAAGCTGTCTGTACAGTTTGAGAGAAGTAACAGCTCCTTATCTGTTCACCAACATTTTTCTCCTCTCACTATCAGTTTGAAGTATAAATTTTTTTCATCTTATTGGATTTATTGGTAGTTTTAAAGTATACAGCACAGTTATATTCATCATTGTGATCTTGTACCTTTATATAATGTGTCTTGGTTCTTATTTTTTTTCCTATACCCTGTGCCCTCCCTTCACCCCTTCCACCCTCCCCTATTTACAAAGACTTTGTTGTATTTTTTCTTGTCCCTTATTTCCTTTCCCCTACCCCTCCCACTTCCCCCACACCTTTAGCCCTTTGAATTATAAAATTTTGATGATTTTTTTTATTAAATATACGTCTACAACTCATGACTGTGTATCTGATTTAAAAGCGAGTTGTCCTTTGTGAAGCACCACAGTTTGGACATGAAAGATTGTTTGTCTGAGGTCTGGTGACACCCCCTGTTCCTCCCCAGACCATCAAGCCCTCTGACATTGCCACCGTCCGCACGCTAGGCAGACCCCCTCACCTCATCATGCGGATCATGGATTGCGTGCTGCTGCTGTTTCAAAGGAAGGTCAACGTGGTTAAAATTGACCTGGAGAAAAGCTGCACCATACCCTCCTGGCAGGAATCTTTAAAACTCATGACTGCGGGGAACTTTTTACAGAACTTACAGGTTAGTAGTTCAGGAATGAGGAGCTAAGTAAGGACTCGATCTGCTGGAGTCACTGGGTCCTTTAGTGGAATAAATATCTAAAATGAATGCACTCTACCTAGTTATTTTGGACATGTATTTTTTTCAGTGTAGAATCTTTTCTTTAAAATATAAGATATGCATTTTAGAGCTGTTACTAAAAAATAAAAAGATTTTAAATGTATGAAAGTGTTACCAGTGATAAATATTTTTCAACAAAAGTTAGAAAATCACTTTAAGGAGATTATATATGTGTATATATTGTATGCATAGGAATACAAATACAGTTGTTCCTAAGCACTTGAAGGATACTATTTCCAGGATGCCCTGTGGATGCAAAAATCTTAAAACATGTAACTCTCTTATAGAAAATGATATTTGCATATATTTGCATACATTTGCATCTTTTGCATGTTTTAAGCTACATGTAGAATATTTATAATTATAATACAATTTAATGCTATATAAATAGCTATGCCATGTTGTTTAGGGCAGCAGTCCCCAATCTTTTTGATGCTAGGGTCTGGTATTGTGGAAGACAGTTTTTCCACAGATGGGAGAGGTGGATGTTTTTGTGATGAATTTAGAAGCTCACAATTTACATTAATTATGTGCACAGCTCTCTGTAGGGTTCCTATTCCTATGAGAATCAAATACCATTCTTGATCTGACAGGAGGCAGGGCTCAGGCAGTGATAGCAGTGATGAGAGCTTCTCTATATGCAGGTGAAGCTCTCACTTGCCCACTGTTTGCCTCCTGCTTTGTGGCCTGTTCCTAATGGACCAAAACTGAGAACAGCCTATGGCCTGGGGGTTGGGGACCCTGGCTTAAGCAATAAAGAGAAGCAAAAGTTCTGTTCATGTTTAGTACTGACACTTTTTTTGGATATTTTCGAAACATAATTGGTTGTGTTTCCAATACAGGACCTGATTTGTGGATACAAGAGACCTATTGTGTATGCACATTGAAAATCTCAGTTATAATTTTTTGAATATTGGTTTACATCTTTTGCATACTATTATGAGATAGAAAATGTATAATAAAATTCACAAATTTTAAGTGTCTTGATGAGGATTTTTAATGTATATACCTATTAATGAACATCAAAACATCAATATATGTATCTTTTTCCAGATTTCAGAAATCTCTCTTGTGAAAACCCAGTCAATTACTTCCTTTAAAATAACTATTATTCTAAAATGTATAATAGATAATGTGAAATAGGAAGAAAAGATCCAAAGGGGAGGGGAAGGGGAAGTCTGATGGGTAGGGGAAAGGAAAGAAGGGAAAGGAATAAATATGAGAAAAGGAAAAAAGTGGAAACAAAGTCTTTATAAATAGGGAAGAGTGGAGGGGTTAAAGGGAGGGCAAGTGAATGGGGAAAAATTAGAACCAAGATGAATTATGTAAAGGTGTAAATTCTCAGTAATGAATGTATACCTAAAATATAGCAATAAAATTAATGAATGAAAAAATAACTATGATTCTGACAAATAGTTTTGGCTGTTTTGAAATTTACACATATGAAGTCATATTCTATGAACTTTTTTTTTCTCTCTCATTGAGTTTATTGGTACATTTTAGGTATACAGTACAGTTACATTCATCATTGGGATCTTGTACCTTTACATGACAGGTCTTGATTCTCATTTTTCCCCCTTGTCCCTGCCCTCCCTTCACCCCCTCCTTGCCTCCCCATTTACAAACACTTTATTTCCGTTTTTTAATTTTTCTATGAAGTTTTTTGACCTCTTTCATTCAGCATCTCTGTGAGGCCACAAGCAAGTGAGAGCCTCATCTCTGTACAGCTCTCCCCATTGCTGCCCTTACTGCCCGAGCTGTGCCTCCTGTCAGATCAAGGACGGCGTTTGATTCTCATAGGAGCGCAAACCCTTGTGTGAGATTTATTCTTACAGATGCAGAGGGCGATATTTCATTCTTTTTTATTTACAGCTTCCCACTGTCAGAAGGTATGGTGGTGTGTGTGGTGAATATTTAACAACTGGTTCTTTGAGGGAAGAGATAAGGATAGAGGAAAAAAACAAAACAAAACAAAACAAAAGGCTGGTTTGTGGTGTTGGCCACAGTGTATGTAACTACTCCCAGAATGGCCAGTTCCATGCTCCCCAAACGAGGTTGCCCATGGCAGAGTTGGGAACAAGTGCAGAGCAGCATTCCTGTAAGTGGTATTTCCACTATTAAGGTGCAATTGCTGTAAAGGACCTCAAAAGTACAGATGGTAGTAAACTGTGATAAAATAATGAGAACTGATGAGTTTTTACTATGTGTTATTTTCATTTTAAATAAAATTCATTTAATGATGTTTATAATTTAATCATAATATGACTATTTAACCAGTTCTGCAAAAACTTAACCAGTTTTCAAAAATGATTTAACAATAGTTTCTCATGAGCCTTTATGAACTATCATCGGTCTGAAACGCCGCAGTATGCTTTAATCTGTTCATCTACTGGACTGTTGATGGGGTTTTGGATTCTTATTAGCTTTGGACTATGAAAAATAAAGCTCTTATGGACACTGATCTACAGGTTATTTTGCAGATGTATGTGTGCATTTCTGCAGGCTGTATATGCAAGAATAGATTCTCTGGGTCTGAGATTGTACTCATTTCGTCAGTCTCAGTATATAATGCCAAAATGTTCTCAAAAGTCATTGTGTGAATTTACTGACCCACCAAAAGTGTACAAATTGCCCTACATCTTGACCATTTCCTACTTTTAGTTATTTTATTGTAACATCTTGTTATTATGAGTTTAATTTCTGTTTTCCCAGTGACTGACGATGCTGAAAATCTTTTCATAGGTTTATGAGCCTTTTGGGAATTCTTTTCATAAATGCCTATTTAGGTCTCTTGTGCATTACAGTTTTTTAGTTACTTTGTAGAAAGTTTTTCTACATGAAATGCAACTAATTTTTCACTTATATGTTGCAAATATCTCCTGCCACTTCTGGCTTATTCATGCAATAGTGATGTCTTTTGATAAGCAGAAATTCTTACTTTGAATGTAATTTACTTAATCATTTTCTTAATAATGCTTTCTGTTTTCTGTTCAGATCTTTGCTTACCTCTAATGAAGAATAAATTCTCCCCAACTTCGATCCCTGGTACAAAAAAAAAAAAAGAATAAATTCTCATGTTTTCTTCTGGGAATTTTATGTTTTATCTTTATGTTTATATCTTGAGACAATAATTGAAAATATCAATCGATGTGCATATACCAAGATGTAACTTTAGCATTATCTTTCATTCAACTTTCAATTCAGTATTGCTCTGGTGACTGCTGTGGCCAGAACACTTTGAGTGGTGCCTTCGAGCTGCTATAATATATATATTTTCCCCATTAAGTCTATTGGTACATATAAGGCAAACAGTAGTTACATTTATCATTGTGATCATGTACATTTACGTGATAGATCTTGGTTCTTATTTTTTGCCCATCCCCCTACTCTTCCTTCATCTCCTTCACCCTTCCCTATTTACACAAACTTTGTTTCCATTTTTTCCTTTCTTTCACATTTTTTCTTTTCCCTTTCTTCGTTTCCCCTAACATTAAGTAGCTACACCTTGTCCCAGCTAGCCATAAGACTATGTGACAATGGAATTGAATTTTGAATTGAATCTTGGCAATAGTACAGGATTATTGCCTCCTCGTTTACCTGGTGGCAGATCCACTGTTTTTGGAAGCTCTCTTGGTATTTACCTTTTTGGTCACCTTTTTGTTTATTGCTCCTAGATATTCTTTTAACTCTATTATTTATCAAGTCTCTTAAAATAAAAAGTGAAGTTTAGAGGAGAATATTTTAGTCTGTGCTATATGTTCTGTGATGGTTTATACCATTAATTAGTAAGTGCTAAATTTGTTTCTGCTTGAAAAACATCCTCTTTTGGATGAGGAAACACCACTTTTAAGTGGCCAGTTTTTTTACTTGGTCATTAATTTTTTTCTGATGCAGGAAGACATTCTCAATCAATTTTGTTACTATTTTAGAATTATATCCCTTTGAAAAATAATAATTCTCATATGTATGATAGCTCTATAATTAAAAATGAATCCATCATCCTCAAGGTAGGGCCAATGGAACAGACTAGAGGATACAGAAACAACTCAGACACACTCAGCCACCTCATCTTTGACAAGGGAGTCAAACACCTTCCTGGGAAGAAGACAGCCTCTTTAATAAAATGGTGTTAGAAAAACTGGCTTTCTGTACACCAAGGGCTGAAACTAGATCCATGTCTTTCACCACACACTAAGCTAAAATTGAAATGGATCAAAGATCTGAATATTAAAACAGAAACACTGAATCTATTGGAAGAGAGAATAGGTAGAACATTTGAGAACATAGCAATAGGCAAAGACTTCATGAACAAAACCCAGACTGTACAGGAAATGCTACAAAGAATCAACAACAGGGACCTCATTGTATTTAGAAGCTTTTGCCCAGCAAGATAAACCACCAAGAGAGTGAAGGGACAATTCACAGCATGGGAAAAAATGTTTTTACCAGCTTTTCAAATGGATTAATATCTAGAATGTATAAAGAACTAAAAAAAAAAAAAAATCAAACCCCCAAATTTAAAGAACCGATCCAAAAATTGGCCTCAAATGAAAAGACACTTGTCAGATGAAGAACTAGAAACAGTAAATAAATATAAGAAAAAATGTTCAGGATCACTCATCATTCATGAAATGCAAATTAAAAAATTCTGAGATTCCATCTGACTCCATAAGAAATACTGCTATCAAGAAATCAACCAATATCACTGGAGGGGCTGTGGGGAGAAAGGAACCCTTCTCCACTGTTGGTGGGAGTGTGGACTAGCGTAATTGCTATGGAAATCAGGGTGGAGATTTCTCAGAAAAATAAAACTAGAGGTTCCATTTGACCCAGCTTCACCTCTTCTTGGTATCTTCCTGAAAGAATTAAAAGCATTTACCACAGTGATACATGCACACCCATGTTTATAGTGGCACGGTCTGTAATCGCTAAATCTTGGAAAGAGTCCAAATGCCCATTAACTGATGAGTGGATAAAAAAGATGTGTGTGTGTGTGTGTGTGTTTTAAATACAATGGAGTACTACTCTGCCATAAAGGAGGATGAACTTCAGACATTTATAGCTAAATGGGTGGACTGTGAGACCATAGTCCTAAGTGAAATAAATTGGACACACATATTTAAATACCGAATTGTTTCTCTGGTGTGAGAAATAGAAAGTGGAAATAAGGACTGAGAGGTACAATGGATGTTGGGGAATGGGAAGAAGGTGTTCACATGGGAAGGGGAACAAGGGAGGAGAGAGGGAGAAAGGAAGGGACAGACAAGAAAAAAGTGAAAATAGAAGGGAAAAATGGAAACAAAGCTTTTCTACATAGTGAGGAAAGGAGCCTTGGGGAGTGGTGTGGGGAAGGGATGAAATAAACTTCGTTAAAAATATCCCCAAGGAAAACAATAAACTTTCCCAAAGCAAACAAACAAAAAAACCCAAAATAAAACAAAACAATAATCATTCCTTACTGTGCTTTCACCTTTTGGACTTTTGCCTAGTGTCCTGAGCTAGTGACAAAATACTGTGCTGTTCATTCATTTTGGCTGCAACAGCACAATTAAGAGCATAATATGAATTTGACTTCCTGGAAAGAAATGGTTTGACTTCACTTCCTTTCTCTATCCCACAGCAATTCCCAAAAGACACAATCAACGAAGAAGTGATAGAATTTTTGGGTCCTTACTTTGAAATGCCGGACTACAACATTGAAACTGCTAAACGCGTGTGTGGGAATGTGGCTGGGCTTTGTTCCTGGACCAAAGCCATGGCTTCCTTCTTTTCTATAAACAAAGAGGTGCTGCCTCTGAAGGTAAGTCTCCCAGGTAGACTGGCCTGAGCCGTGCTTGGGCGGGGGGGTCTCTGGGTCAACGGGTCTCAGCTTTGCACAGTAGTGCAAAAGCTTTTGGCTCTGGTATTATTGTACTCAGATCCACGGGGAGAGCCAGTACTAAAAAGAACACTGAAGTTTTCTTTCTTCTCTGTAATCCTACTCCAGGCAGAATTATCTGAGCCTACAAGCACAGACTTATTTTCTACAAGGACCCTAAATACTTTGAGGGTCACAGGACATTTTCTTTTGTCATGTCATCTTAAAAGAAATCCCAGAAAATTATAACAAAACTGCCCACTAATGTTCAAAATCTTGAGCCAGGGAAGCCTATGAATGAGGCAAGGTTAAGATACTGATGCTGGAAGTTGAACAATGCTAAAAGCTGGTCCTGCTTTAAGACAAGTACAGTCTTCCATTAGTCCCCCTTTGTCCCTTACAAAACAATATCATCTTTTTGTTATTAATGTGACTTGGAAACGACATCTGTTGTATTAGCTTTCCCATCTCTGGGACACAATATGCACGAGCACAAGAAGGAAGAGAGATTTAATTTGGCTCCTAGTTCGGGGGATTCAATCTGTGGTTGGCTCTCAGGCAGAAACCTCCCTGCAGAAGGTCCTGGTGGAGTAAATTTCACAGCAGCTGTTGAGCAGAGAAAGGGAACAGCACCAGAGAGGAAGGGGTTAGGGCCTGATGAAGATGACATGGCCCACCTAGACACATGTAGAAGTTGCTTTGCTAGGCCCCTGGGGGTCCATCAAATCAGCAGTTGAGCTTAACTGTTAACACCGTGTTTCCATTTGAGTAGTTACATTTTTGAACTTCAGCACTTTATATACCCCCACCATTAAAAAACATCCAGTCTTCACAATGGAGAGGCAAGTACTGTTTTTGAAAATGAAACACTGATGTCTCAAAAATCAGAATTTATGGCTGGTTTGGTCATTTTGTCTTTGTATAAGTTTGATCTTTCCCAATCATCAGCTAAAATACATTTATTGTAAACTACCAACAAGCTTAAGACATGGTAAAAATAATCAAAACTAGCCAAAGTTTAGGTATTGAGTTGCAAGTCACAATATAGTTTCTGTTTTTTACCGTATCAAGACCATCTGGTCAATAATTGGGGTCCTTAGGGTTTGTTAGACAATTTAAAGGAACAAAGAAATATTTGATTCAGGTAATTTCAGGGCAAATAACTGATATCTTATTGTCCAACATCATGGCTCTTGGGACCAGTGAAAACTCCAGCATAGCTAGAAAGTGGACATTCTGATGTTGACTGAACTATCACCACCATGTCAGATGAAAAGTATGGGCTACTTTTGAACATTTTCAAAAGACATACAGAGAGTAGACATGCAGAGTGTAAGGAAGGGAGTTACACTATGTTGGGTTTACAATATGTCGTTTGTATTTTATTATAGTTGTTTTAAGAATAGTGACCTAATATCGTTCAACGTGTATATTGCAAGTAGGTTTACATAAATAAGAAGTATGAGATTTCTTTCCTTATGTTCGACAGTTCTCTCTTAGTTACTTTCTCATTGTTGGGACAAAATTCCTGACAACCACAAGTTAGAGGAAAGGTTTATTTTAGCTCACAGTTTGTAGAGGTTTCAGTCCATATTCTGCTGGCTCCAAGGCAGGGCAATATGGCAAAGGGGAGAAAGAGTTCATGATGTGGTAGGCAGGAGGCAGCAGGGCCTTCTTACCCTTTTTATTCTATCCAGGCTGCAAACCTATTGGTTGGTGCTACCCACACCCCGATGTGGCTTCCCTCTTCACTATGTCCATCATCCACACCAGAACTGTGCTAAACCAATCAGTGGATTGATCCAGTACCACACGCCCATGGTCCAGCCACTCCCCAAAACCCTACATATGAGCACATGAGGCCTTGGGGGAACATTTTATATAAGCTATAAACCTTCCATATCTTTCTTGTCCTCCGTCCGGTTCCACACAATCTAGATCACACGGCAGGATTTTAAGGGAGCCCTTTCACAAGGGCTTTTGCTTGCTCTTAAGTGCTGTGCTTCTTCGGAGAAGTCTATCTCAGAACTCTAGGTAGAAAGCCTTCAACACTGACTGGTAACTGTTCCAGACATGGTTTTCTTTTTTATCTTGTAATTCCTATAGATGAGCCAAGTGACTTCTATTAGTGAACATATTCAAACAAATACTCCTTACAATTTTAATTGTATTCATGCTCATAAAGTGAGATTTCTCTTTGAAAAGTCTACATAAATCAATAAATATCAGCCCACCAAGCAGTATGTTTTACAAAGCAGAGCCTCTAATAGTGTACATTGATAATAATAATGATGTCTGTTATTTATCACACTCTCCTTATATGCCAGGTTCCAGATTTATCTTTATAGGTTATATTATTTAATTCTTACAGCAAATCTTAGGAGGTAGCTTTTAATTACTTTAAAGGAGAAACTGAGGCTTAATCTTTAGGTTACTTATGCAGAATTTTGAAGTTTTAAATTGGGCAATTGAATTTGAAGGTTTTAGCAATTTTGAAAGTGTTACTTAAAATTTATTTGTTTTTTGAGTATAGTACTAGAAATTGTTAAAAATCTTTGGGTTGTGATAGTGTAGTATTGTAAGGTTACTTCAGAAATCCATGTTCTCTATGACACAGTGGCTTTGCTTTTCTTTTATGTTTGATGCGTAGCAAAAGTTGCAGCTTAGAGCAGGGCAGAAACAATATTTTACAATTCAATTCTTTTAAAAAATTGAAATTTGTATCAGCACATGTGTACACAAGGGTCACATTCATCATATGGAGCTGGTAATGTACATGACATATCTAAGTTCGTTTTACTTTCCTTCTCCTCCTCTGTCTCCCATCTCTCTCTATTTCTCAGTACCCTTTCCTATTTGAAAAAGGTCTCTCTCCCTCTTTCCTATTATATATCTTGTATTTGCTCTTGAAATTATAGTTTTTTATTGTAATTTAAGTGAAATCATGCAGCATTTAAATTTGTGTGTCTGATTTACGTCGCATAACATTATGGCCTTAAGGTGCATCCATTTTCCTACAAAATACCCACATTTATCTTTTTTTATAGTAAAGCAGTGCTTCCCCTTGGATAAACACCAAGTTTTCTTTATCCATTTATGTGTTGATGAACATATAGGCTGCTTCCAAGATTTAAGTATTACAAGGTTTGCTGCTCTCAATGTGGGTATACATATATCACTACAATATGATATTTTTCTTTAGGGAAGTTAGCTAGAAAGGAAACAGCTGGTCAAATGTAGTTTCTATTTTTAGTTTTTTGAGGAATTTCCACACTGATTTTCCTAGTGGTTGTACTAGTGTGCTCAATTCTGATATATCTTTGTTCATATTTTTATCTAGTTGATCTGACTATTTGTGACTGTGAGGTATTGGTTTCCCCCACTACATCTGTGCTAACAATTGTCTGATACTTTATGTGCAGTTTTGTGAAGTTGGGTGTACTGGTATTTGGTGGATATTTACTTACAATTTTTTGTCTCTTCCCACTGAATTGTTTCCTTAACCAATATAGAGTGGTCTTCTTTTCCTCTTCTGATCAGTTTTAGCTTAATGTCAACTTCATCTGAAAATAGGTTAGCTATTCCTGCTTGTTCTTGGCCTCTGGTTTCATGGAATATTGTTTCCATACTTTGATTTTTAATCTATACATTTCTTTTTGGATTAAATTTGTCTCTCTTATGCAGCATATTATTTGGTTTTATTTCTTCATCATTTCTGCCAACCTGTGTCTTTTGATTGGAGAGTTGAGACCATTCATATTGAGAGTTATTACTGAAAAGCACTGATCCGTTTTTGTCATTGCTGTATTTTCTTTTTGCTGATTCCATTTTCCCCTTTCTGCTTAACTGCACACCCTACTTGTGCACCCATGTAGCTAGACTTTGGCATCTTTGGCTTCACTGACCCTGTCTAGGATAACCTTGAGAGAACTTTCTGGAGTGCTGGTGTGGTGGTCATGAATTTGTTAAGGCACATTTTGTTGTGGAAAGACTTTTTTTCTCCATCAATTTTTTCATATCTTCTTTAATTAATTTATTTATTAATACATGTTTTAAATACATAATGATGACTTTCATTTTGTGGGTTTTCAGTACATGCATATGACACAGCTTAACTTTTTTATATCCCCTTTCTCTGCCCTCTCCCTTTATCTCCTGATCCCCCTCCCATTTACAGTGGATCTGTTTCCCTGTTTCTTTTTATCTATCCTTTGTTTTGCATTTTATTTATACTGTGGATTTCTCACATGACAGGAACCATACATCATTTAAGTTTATGTGTCTGATTTATTTTACTTAATATTTTCAAAGTGCACCCATTTTCCTACAGAAGGATCAAATTCGTCCTTTACAGCAGATTGGTTTTCCAGTATGCATACAAAGTACATTTTCATTAATTAATTTTCAGGTGGTGGACATATAGGCTGCTTCCAAGATTCAGCTACTATGAGTTGAGCTGAAATAAATATAAGTGTGCATGCATGACTATAATATGATATATTTCAGTCCTTTCGGAAGATACCTAGTCAGAGAAGAGCAGGGTTGAATGGAATTTCTATTTTTAATTTTTTTGAGGAATTCCCATACTGACTTCTATATAAGATGTACCAATTTACATTCCCACCAACAATGTAGGGTATTTCCTTTTTCACCACAGCTTCACCGTGATTTGTTATTATTTGATGTCTAGGTGACTGCCATTTTCTGAAGTAAGGTGAAATCTCAGTGTTGTTTAAATTTACATTCTTTAATGGCCAGTGATATTGATCAGGTTTAGCATGAAGCTTACTTTCTCTAAGGACAAAACTATTATACCTGCTTGCTTTTGGGGTCCTGGTGCCCATAATATTGTTTCCCATCCTTTGATTTTTAGTCCTTGAATTTAGATGAGTTTCTTGAGTGCAACAGACTGTTGGGTTCTGTTTTTTTAATATACAATATGCTAATCTGTGTTTGTTAAATGAGGATTCAAAACCATTACATTAATAGTTATTGCTTAAAGGTATTTATTTACTCCTGTCATTGAGTCCTTTTTTTGTTTGTTTGTTTGTTTTTTGGGGCTGTTGACTCCTTTATTTTCCTTTTTCATTTAACTTCTTGCCTTTCTTGCTTCAGCCATTCCATCTTAATTTTTGGCTTGTTGGTTTCAATGTCTCTGGATAGGGTATTCTTGAGTATTTTCATGGAGTGCTCATTTGATGCTCATGCATCTCTTAAGGTGTTCTTTGTTCTGGAAACTGGCTGACAGTCACAGGTAGGCCACTGAATGTTCCATGTTTAGTACTCCCATAGTTGACTTGTTATTTTTACTGTTATTATCTGTGTTGGGAGAATCTTCTCTTCACAGGTGAGTGAGTTGGTGTTCAGTGATTAAATTTTACACTCAGCTCCTGGGTTAGAATTGTCTAACCCATGGTGCCTAGTTTGGAGGCTGATGTGACTGTGGATTTATTAAACCCATCAGACTGTCACTAAAGGGCAGACTTACTCCCTTTTTCAGACCAGTCCTTTCCAAAGTCTTGTCAGTTCTACTTAAACTGTAATTTTTAAGCTGTGTTTTTGTCTGTCACCATTTTTACAGAACTCTGAAATTTCCCTTAAAATATGTTACAAAAATTGGAAGCCTGAAGTTTTAAAATAGAAAAATGATTTGCCTTGAAATTTTTTAATAAAAATGATCTTTGCTTATTAAGCCTCAGAAAGAATATGCCTTTTCACAGTGAATCAACCCATTCAAGTAAATTTTAACATTTTGTATACTTAAAAAGGAGAAATTTGATTTCAAAAAACATTTTAAAAGATCTAATTTCCAATATGCATGGTCTGTTTTCTACACCTTTTTTGTTAATGCTACTTTTAGAGATTGTCTTTTGATTCTATTTTACTAGAACTAAAGATGGTTTGACTGTGATTCATGCTTAATGTTTTTTTGTACATTAAATATATATTGTAAGTCAAAGAAACATTATGATACTCTGGAGGTACCATTGGTTTTCTGTTGTGATCAGGTGGCTGACTTTGACCTGCTCTTCACTGCTGCTACCCACATCCTTGAAAGAGTATTAGATGGCATATTGCTAACCTAGGAAAAGATCAGATTCAAAATTCAAAATATGGTTTCTACTGGATGAATATGTGTTGTTTTTACACTATCATAAAGTTGAAGAATCCTGTCAAATGTGTGGTAATCATCACTCTAGGACCACCTATATAAAATTTTTTTTTCTATTTTTACTTCACTTAATCTTACAGTGGTCTGAAATTTGCCTGTGTATATTTAGTATTATAAGTTCTGATCTAGGACATGAAAACTATGGCCCTTGTGCTAGATCTAGCCCACCACCTATATTTACTTGTTGATTAAATACAAATAACCTTACTTTTTAAAATGATTTAAACATTGCTTTTTTACATTATAAAATGGTTTTTACTTAAGCACTTAATAGCTTTGATTTTGCCTCTTGGCATAGAAAGGCTGAAATATGTACTATCTGGCACTTTGCTGAAGATGTTTGTTGATCTCTGTTCTGATGAAGTAGAATTTTCTTCTTATGAATGTAAGTCAAGTTCACACTCACATTTGGTCTTAATGCAATTTGAAAAGGCTCTAGGGCTGGAACAAAGAAAGGGAGCACACAGGTGTCAATGTTGAGTTCCTGATTTGTGAGGTGCAGGCTGTGGGGAAGTCCCTGCCTTTCCCTTCATGCTGTGTGTCCTACACAGGCTAACTTGGTGGTGCAGGAGAATCGTCACGTCCTAGCCATGCAGGATCTGCAGAAAGCCCAGGCTGAGCTGGATGCAAAGCAAGCGGAGCTTGATGTGGTACAGGCTGAGTATGAACAGGCCGTGGCAGAGAAGCAGGTAACCATCCTTGACATGACCATGACTGTCACATATCTACCCTGTTTATTGTAAACCTTCACTCCTGTTCTTCTTTCTCTCTCCAAGGGCTTGGTTTCCATGGGGGATTCACTTAATTTATGCAGAACACATACGCAGTACATAATCCCTCATTTTGCTCTTGACTTTGTTTCTAACAGACACCTAGAGCTTTGTCAAGATGTCAAGACAGACTTCCAAGATGGCAGTCAGTCCATAGTGATGGTGACAGTAACGGTGTCTGGGCACATTTTTGTTATGTTGTACAAATCAAATCTTCCAACATGATCTCATTTTATTTTTGAAACAAATTTTGCAAAATCTTCAGGGTGGATATTTTTACTCTTATTTTACAGAAAGGAATCAAGGTCTAGGAAGGTCAAGACTGTGGGTGTTGGCCATAAGGCTGGTCAGTGCCACAGTCTGTTGTTGACTTTATTCTTATATTCTTCAGGCCTCTCTGCTGGATCAGTACAATTGACTACAATGATCATTTGCATTTTTCTCAACCTATGTACATTTTGGAGCTAACTAACACCATTTAGAATCCAGGTTCATACATTTCCTGACTTCTGTTTAAAATAATCCCAGTTCCCCTGGGTTCTTCCTTCTTCTGGCAATCAAGATAGATTTTACAGATAGTTAATGTAGCTTCATCTTCAGGGTCCCTAACTTACACAGGTGCCTAAAGAGCTTGGGAGTTGTATACTGTTCTATGGGACAAGGAGGGCAAGTTGTGACCAACAAGCATTTGTCTTTTAGTATTCAGGCAAAATGCCCACAGACATCACAGAGGGATGGCATCAGAGTTTCTAAGGACCTTTTCATGATATTTTTTCTTATTCTAAATATATACATCATATTTTGCAAAATTTCAGAAATTCTCTAATTTTTCTTAATGTAGCTCCCCACATTATATGAGTTCTGGCTCCACAAAATCTGTATCTGCCTCTGATAAATTCTGTGTTTAGTAAATTAGAGTCTAAATCACTCTTCGTTTGACAATTTTATGGAATTTCTCTCTTATCCTTTTCAGCCTTCATCAGGCCAGACTGAGATTCAAACCTTTTATCTTTTCAGATTCACTATTTGCAGAATGCACAGTATTTTTTCCTAAAGATAAGTGTCCTCAAAGAGAAATAGGAGCTTCTTTATCATCTTGAGAAGTAATTATATAGCACCTGCATGGATTTCATGTTTATGCCCCACAGAACTGTTACTTAAGGAGGAAATTTATATTGCAGCTTGAGAGTCTACTTTAGAAACTATAAGGATGAAATATTTATTTCTAGCATTTTAGACATTCACTTAAATCAGGAAGCATTACTGAACACAGTCACACATACTATCTTGTGTTTATATTTTAACATTTTACATTAATTCCTTTTTTTTTGGTATCGGGGATTGAACTCGGAAACTTGTGCTTGCAAGGCAGGCCACCAAAGCGCTGAGCTAAATCCCCGGCCCTTAATTTTACATTAATTCTTTCAATGAAACTTTTTGTTGTTTTTAAGCATATTCTATTTAAATTGGTATTTAAATTATTACTTAAATTGTAGATACACACAGGAACTGCTAATGTGAAAATATGGCTCCAATTTTAAAAACTGAATTTTAACAAATGCCATATCTCTTTAATAATAATATAAAAAAATCTGACCATGAGCTGGCCTACTACCAGAGTATGAGCTTGATCTTTAGTCATTTTTGTTGTTTGTCCCCCTTCCAAGGCTTCCAGTCTAGGTGGCTGTTGGGCCACAAAGGAGGGCTCCAATCTGTTCCTTGTGGCCCAGGCTTACATGGTCCTTTGAAAGAGTCTGTATCCCCAGTACTCTCCACACAGGATACAGTGCTTTTGGTTGGGGTCCAGCCTCACTAGGCCTCCTGGAGAGTGAGTTATCTCACTGGGTGGTGAAGAGCAAATGAGCCCGAGCCTGGGCTGCAACCTAGGGAGTTTTGCACCTTAACCCTTGGTTTCAGGGGGGACAGTCTACTTCTGCCTCTGTGTACTTGTTTATACCTCTCCCTTTCCCCATATCCCAGTCCCCCAAAGGAACATAGGCTTCCAGAAAATAAAAGCCAAGAAGGAAGTGCCTGTCCATTTTCTTATTTGGCTGGATGGAAGGGAGAATTTAGAGGAAAAAAAATCACATTAAAAGTTTCTTTTAAATAGAAAATATTTTTCTGGTTTGTTTGTTTTTTTTTGGTACCGGGGATTAAACTCGGGTCCTTGCGTTTGCAAGGCAGGCCACTGAACCGCTGAGCTAAATCCCCAGCCCGAAAATGTTTTTCTAATGAATGATGTGGAATCATACTTTGAAGCAGGCATCTTTCCATGTAGGGAGGAAACAAATATATATAAAAGATATAGATGCAGGGTTTTTCCTCTCAGTTTGGATTTTTTTCCACATGAACCCATAAGGTAGAAGTAGAAAACCCTCAAGGTAGACTAGGACAAACTGGATTAAATATCTCACTTTTGGAAAACACTTCATTGTGCTATTGTTACAAAAGCAATCTATGTTTGCACAATGTATTCAGCTCTACAGAGGAATACCAATGATATTTTGCTTCTTGTCTTTTTATAATCTGATCAGATTCCCTTATTTACATAGTATTTAAATACTTTGGAAAAGATCAGAGGTAATTCAATAGTGCTGTTTTATAAATTGAATTTTTTAAATTAATAAAATATTGTGATTAACTTTCTTGGTTGTAAAACATTTATCAGATAATTCTAAAGCAGGTGCTCAGTTTGCTTGAGGTTTTGGGCTCATTGCCCATCACAAAAACAAACACAAAGAAGCAAATGAAACAGAAAAACAGCCTGAATGGTAATAAGATGGGGAGGTCTGGGTTACAGGCCCCTTAAAGTCCAGAGAAACAAACATCTGTAGGTCATACATGGCTGAAATCTGGGAAGGAGCTTCAGGGTACCAGAATCTGATGAAAATCTAAGTTCTGTCTAAAGTTTTAGGAGGTATAGAGTGAGATAAATCAATAATGACTCTAGAACTCTGACATGAGAGGTATTTCTGATTTTTAATTAAGGATATGCATTTCTTTACTTTTTTGTGCTGTGCAGTATTGGCATATGTTCTGTTTCTATTTTTCTCCAAAGGGAAATCGTAGTTGATGTAGATTTCCATCATCTCTCAGTTAGTAGTGTAGGGTGGGATCTGACCACTTGGCCCTGCATTTAAGAGTCCTGCATGTTCCAGGGCCCATGGCCAGGGAGTAAGAGATAGGACCCACAGAAATGGGATTGTATACATTTTCTTTTTTGCAGTGAAGGGATTACATGTCCCACAAGGCAGATAATACGTATTTTGAAGTTTCATTTTTGGGCTCGAGGCTACATTTGTCCCTGTAAAGGTTTTCTTCTGGCTATGACCTTTTTAAGGCCCTTCTTGGAGACGCAGAGCGGTGCCGGCGTAAGATGCAGACAGCCTCCACGCTCATCAGTGGCTTGGCAGGGGAAAAGGAGAGATGGACTGAGCAGAGCAAAGAATTTGCTGCGCAGACCAAAAGGCTTGTAGGTCTGTAAATTCGTTTTTCCCCACAGTTTTAAGAATTGGGGAATACTGGTCTTTAGTTTGTCAGATTCGTAAGCCTCCTCGTCCCACTCTCTCCTACAGTTTCACATTTTGGGGGGGAGGGAGGGGATACAAACAACACATTTTGATCACATCCATCCTCTCTATGAGACTGGATTGGTTAAAGCTGGAGTAAGCAAGCTTGAGCTTTAATCCAACAACACAATGATTTCTGATCTCTCTGTCTCCAGTCTTTTCAGAAAGCTAGATAATGGTCTGGCATATTTGCTGTTCTAATTAGATGGTTTAATGACCTTTACACATGATGTGATCAAGTCACTTTCCAGTTCTCCTGTGAGTCCATGGGGATACTGCTCCAAGGCACTTTGAATGAAGGCTCTGTCTCCTGAGGCGTCAGAGCTCATAAACTCAAGAGATCATCTGCTCCCTTGCAAGAGAAATCAGAATAGTCCAATACTTGCTTCCAGCAGTGATTACTTTCTGTTTGGCCCTGTTTACCATGAAACCAAACTCCTGCTTTTTCACCAAAGTATGGGAACTTGTGATTATAATTTGATCTGGGTAACTTAGTTTTTCAAAGAATGTATTTTAAATTTTTTAAAAGTTTGATGTGCAGTACAATTACAAAGACAATTTAAGTATATCATGGTGATTGTTTTCTACTTTAGGGGATGTATTGTTGGCTACAGCTTTTCTGTCTTATTCGGGTCCATTTAACCAAGAGTTTCGAGATCTGTTGTTAAACGACTGGAAGAAGGAAATGAAAGCTCGGAACATTCCATTTGGAAACAATTTCAATCTCAGTGAGATGTTGATTGATGCTCCTACTATTAGTGAGTGGAACCTCCAAGGTCTGCCTAATGATGACCTGTCCATTCAGAATGGAATTATTGTCACAAAGGCATCTCGCTACCCATTGCTAATCGATCCACAGACTCAAGGCAAGATCTGGATTAAAAATAAAGAAAGTCAAAATGAACTCCAGGTAATTTGTGTTTGAGTATATTTACGTTACTGGTCAGGTTTTATTGCTCCAGATTGCTAAAAGAATTAAGTCCAAGAATTAAGAAATATTTGAAAACTTTACACAATATTGGTAATCCTAGGTAGAACAGGTCTAAGCTTAAATCTATTTTACTTTTTATTTATTTTTTATTTTTTTAATTTTTTTTCTTTTATTGAGTTTATTGGTACATATCTAATAACAAAATCTCCTTTAAAATATCAATATTTGCATCTGTGTTCATGTCTCTTGGCATTTTTCTGTGTTTTTAGACTCTGTTCTTAAGGTCTAAGGTTCTCTTTGATAAACAGAGAAAGACAGAGTTGTATCATAATACATACAAGGATACTTCTTAATTATTCTGTAACTGTTTGTTACAAAGTTGTTAGGGTAAAGAAAAGCATGCTTCCCAGTAGAAGGGAAGGCTGATAAAGGGAAGAATGGAAGCCATTTAAATTTTCTGTACCATTTCATCAAGGAGGGCTTCCAAAGCCATGGATTTCTGAACACCTATGTGTTTGCCTGCTGAGCTAAAATATTTTAAGTAAAGTGATATCGCTTATCTCCGTGTGTTGCATGAAGAGACTGTGTCAAGAGTAACCCTCAGTCTCTGTTCCAGATCACATCTCTAAATCACAAGTACTTCAGAAACCACCTGGAGGACAGCCTTTCTCTTGGAAGACCCTTGCTTATTGAAGACATCGGGGAGGAGCTAGACCCAGCTCTGGATAATGTTTTGGAAAGAAACTTCATTAAAACTGGATGTACCTTTAAGGTAGGTTACATCTGTTGATAACAGTATGCAGAGCGATTACACAAGACAAGGTGTGACATGAATAGAATTCTGTCATTGGGCAACAACTGAAATTAGAATCATTGGTGAGGTATTTTCCTGTACATCATAAGTTGGGATTAAACTGTTCTAGAACAATCCTTTTAGGCATATCTATTCTACTTTTGTTACAAACAGCCTGACTCCATGTTGATGTTTGATTACTGTTAGATTTGAAGTCCTTCTTTTTATGTCCCTTTCTCCTTCTGTCCTATTTTGTTCTCTTCTGAGCAAGCTGAGAGGAAGCCTGGTGCTCCTACAAACCCCTATCTGTGGCCATGGACAGCAACACCCATCCCAGGTTACTCTCCTGACCACCATAAAACCACATACCAGCTGCCTTTCCCTGCTTTCTGAAGACATTTTAAGGGTTTGCCTGAAAACTTACTCTTTCCTGGATAAACAAAATCTCATTATGTGAACAATAACTCCTTTACTCCTTTTGGTACACACGAGTCTTCATCAGTCTGCGACAAGTTTTTTTCAGTGTCTGGAACAAATTTTGGTTGAGGGCTCCACCTTTCTTCTGTGGAGCCAAATTCTGTGCTTATTTTATGGTTTACATTAATCGAACTCCCTCCCTCTCACCAGTTCCTCCCCCTTTCTGTCCTGTCTTTCCTTCTTTCCATCCTAGTGATTTTAAGCCCCATGAATACTCAATGGCTGTTTCTTTTTCAGTGTGTAAATTATCTCCATTTCCAAGATCATTTAGCAATTCCCTATCCTCTACAAAAGGATGTGGTAAGGTGTATCTCTTTTATTATTTGAACTTTCTTTTCACGGGAAAGGTGAAAGTGGGTGACAAGGAAGTGGATGTTATGGATGGCTTCAGACTCTATATTACTACCAAACTGCCCAATCCAGCCTACACTCCTGAAATCAGTGCACGGACCTCCATCATTGACTTCACCGTCACCATCAAAGGTCTGGAAGATCAACTACTGGGAAGAGTCATTCTCACAGAGAAGCAGGTGGGTAAGGTGTGGCCAGCTCCTTTTCTACATTGAGGGACTCTCACTGATGAAAATATGATAGAAGTTGTCATAGGAATGAGCTTCTTTCTTTAAACCCTCATGCGTTTTCCATTAATTCAGACATTTTTTTACCCAAAGGAAATTATTAATCAGTTATCTACCCATATGTTTTATATGTGTCTCCCAAATTATGTATTAGATTGATTGCCTTTCTACAGACTGATGATGTAACTGTGAGCACATCGGTCTCAGTTTCTGCATCACTATTTTGGTCTTTGCTTAATTATTCTGAGAAGTTTTTTCCTATTGTGAATTTTAGTCTCCTGCCAACTTTCAGTTTCCTAACACACATCTAAGTCATTCTTCCATTTGATTCCTTGCTATACCTGTAGAATATGTGGGAACTTTGCACAGACAATAAACAACGTTATCATTTCTTAGCTATTATCTGTGAGATAAAGCTCTGTGTAGCTGCAGTGGGTCTGATATGAGAATTTAGAAGTTGTAACCATAGAGTTTGATTGTACACCTAACTTCAGGTGCCTTGGAACTATAACTTTGTGTCTGTTTGCTTGACTTCTGTTTTATGAGCTAACTTAACGCTCAGTGAAAAATGGCCAAGAATATAGAAATTTCCTTATCCCGAGTCAGCATTTTCTCTGGGGCCCATGTAAAGTTTAAACAAGGAAATTAATGAGATTGCAATGATGAGACTGCAGGAACTCTTAAAGCTGCTATTGACTTTCTCCTGGCTTTGACAGTGAGGAAGAGTTGTTTACTATGTGGCTCCTTCTGCACCAAACCAAAGATCTGTTAGGTTAAGAGGCTTGGCAAAGTCATCGTCTCTGCCCTCCCACCTTTTCTACATGCTACACTGGTCCTGCTTTCCAATTCTATTTCATTCTGCCCCTCCCTCTCTCCTGCCATTCTTCCGCTCTCTCCCTTCCTTTTATTTTGAATCTCCTGTCCTTATTTTTTTTTCTCTCATTGAGTTTATTGGTACATTTTAGGTATACAGTACAGTTAGTCACCACTGGGATATTGTACCTTTACATGACAGGTCTTGGTTCTCATTTTTCCCCCTTGTCCGTGCCCTCCCTTCACCCCCTCCTCCCTTCCCTATTTACAAATACTTTATTTCCATTTTTTCATTTTCTCCTATTTTTTTCTTTTCCCTTATTACCTTTCCCCTAACCTTCCCACTTCCCCTACATCTTTAGCCCTTTTCTTCCTATTTCACATATATCTGTGGTAAGATCCTGTCTTTATTTTTAATTTGCAGCACATGAACCAGAGAGTCATAAAGTTGGAAGTTATCTTAGAAGCATTTAATCCAGCTTCATAACTTCACATATTGAGTTAGATGAACTCAATATGATAGGCACTGATACTGTGGTCCTCACCACAGATTGGTTGTTGAGGCAAATACATGTACTTGGTTGGGTATGTATGTACATATGTACGTATGGATTTTGTGGTGCTGGGAATTGAACCCAAAGCCTTTGAACTGAGTCACATTCCCAGTCCCTTTTAAAATTTTTTGTTTGGAGATAAGATCTCTCTATTTCATTAAAGTTGCCCAAGCTGGGCTCAAACTTGTGATCCTCCTGCCTCTGCCACCCACAGTGCTTGGAATCAAAGCCATGTGAGACCAGGACTGTCTGTGCTTGTTTATTTTCAGGTCTTGAGTTACATCTCAGTTGACATGGTTGAGGAAATTTAGCAGTGCCTTAGAGCTGCTCGGGGAAGGACTGAGAGTTTTAATTGCCAGCATGTGTTCTCGAGCAAGTGGGCATCCCGAGGAGAGTCTGGGACAGCATCATTGCTGGCACCCTCCACTCTGCTTTCACCTGTAGCCTTGGCTACAGAGAAATAACAGCCCTGGTGGTGATAGCCTTGTACTTTGTTTGTCTTATTCAGCTGTGATGAACGCATTTTCTGAAAGAAGTAATTTTGCCTGGCAAATGTTGGATGCTACAAAACAAAACAAAATAGTGCTGAGTCTTGCTTACTGCAGCAGAGGTTTACCAGGAAGCAAGGAACCCTTTAAACTCTTTTGAAAAAGATTTTCAACAGCATGGCAGAGCCTGTATAGGCCCACAGCCAGGCCTTTTCTTTTTTTCCTGGGAAATTGAGTGTTTTGAGAAAATTTCTCTTGTACCTTTGTCTCATTATCAGAATCTGTTCCTGCCTCACAATGAGAAGTTCTTACAAAAATGTGGCCAGAGTAATACGACAACTATCTGTCGTAACCACAGTGAGTCGTCTCACTCTGAACCACATTTTAATACAACACCTAAGATTTAGTTACTTATTTCCTGAAGTAAAGGCTCCTGGTGCTGAAAGTGAGCTGTGGGGCTTACTTTTTTTTTTTTTTTTTTTTTTTTTTTTTGGTACTAGGGATTGAACTCGGAACTTGGGTCCTTGCGCTTGCAAGGCATGCCACCGAACTGCTGAGCTAAATCCCTGGCCCTGTGGGGGTTACTTTTGGTGGAGTTTCAGGAGTTTACTTTTTCCAAGACAATTTTGCCTTTGAAACATCTACTCTTACCATCATAACCCTGCTCACATTGCTGAATTGTCTAGGTCTGGGTGGTGGCAAGTGGGTCTGAGTAGATCTCTCCTGATTTTCAGTCATTTATAACCCACTGAAAACAACCCATGCCTGTACTTTATGGGCATGACCGTTATTTCTTTTTAAGTCTGAAGTGTTCTTTTGATTTCAGTGACAGGCTCTGGCTATAATCACTTCTGGGATGATTGTACATATAAAATAAAAGTTTAAAATTTCCTTAAACAAATGTGGGTAAAGTCTATTCAAAGCTGGGAGCGTCCTACAAATAGGAAGTTGATGTTGGGAAGCACTGGAGAAATGTGAGGCTGAAACACAGGGTGACTCTGTTCATTTAGACACACTTGCCTTTCCGAGGCTACGGTTCTTCTAGGGTCATGCAAAAGGAAAGTGCGAACTGATTCCATCAGTTTACCAAGTGTTCAGTGTCCTGGGAGGACAGGGCGGTGAGGGCCTCACCATCGCACGACATGGCCTCATCATGGACCTGCTAGAACTTGTTTATTTGCTTCAGGAATAAATGGAAATCTGGGAGCATATGAATACAAGGAAATTTCACTTAAAAACTGGCTTCATACTTTCCTATGTGCTTCAAGGCAGTCTATTTATTTACTTTTTAAATTGGCACATAATTATCCTACATATTTATTAGGTGCAATGTGATGTTTCCATATGTGTATGTGTTGAGTAAGGGTAAAATCAAGATGATTCTCCTATTTATTTATATACTTCTATACATTTGTCATTTCTTTGTGGTAGGAAGATTAGAAAACCTACCTTTTAGCTGTTTAGAAGTCTTCTTGGCTTTTACTTACAGTCACTGTACTCTGTATGAGCACTTATTCCTCTTGTCTGCTTATAAATTTGTAGGTGTTGATCAACCTCTCCCTGGTTTCTTTTCTCCACTCTCTGGTAACCACTCTTTTACTCTTTTCTTCTACAAGATCAACATGTTAAAGCCTTCCCAAATAAGGGAAGTTATTCATCTTTCCATATCTAGGTTTATAATGTCCTCCAGTTCCATCCATGTTGTCACTAATGACAAGATCTCATGTACCTAAGAGGCCAAATCAAGTGTTCTGTAGTGTCTGGGTGCTGTATTTTGTTTGTGCGTTCATTCACTGTTGGACTCTGTGAAGAGTGCTGCAGTGAACATGGGAATGCACGTGTCCCTGATGCATTGATTGCATTTCCTTGAGACACATAGCTAGTGGTGGAATTGCATGCAGGATGACGTGGTAATTCTATTCCTAGTGTGGTTAGGGGACTTCCATACTGTTTTTCATAATGACTCTACTGTTCAAGTTCACGTCAAGGTCCTATTCAACCATTGACTTGTTGTACCCATGTGTAGATGTGGATGGCCTTGTGTTGTCACAGAAGATGTGTATTTAGACGATCTTTGAACCAGAAGCAAACAAGTAGACCTCCAATAACTTTCCTTTATAGAATACCAAATCACCGATCTCATCCCTACCTCTATCCTAGAGAATAAGACAGAAATAAAGAGAATTCTGTTATATTAGGAGAAGAATATGGATTACCTATCAATCACCTATTCTGGTTGCACAATAAATGGCTTCAGGAGCCCTCATTGTTTAGAATTCTGGATGAGCAAGCAAGTGGATGATTTCCTTTTGAGGTGGAAGGACCTGAACTTGATGAAACTTACCTGGGAAAGGGAAGTAATTTAATAAATATGCCTAATTTTTCAGTTTAATTTTCTCTTTGGTAAGCCACTAAATTTTTGAGCACTTAATTAAATAGTATGTTCATGAAATGGTACTGAACCACTCCTGTACTTTTTAGAGTCACTTTGGAATATTCCTTCCCCCCATTTTAGCACTATTTGTAAAAACATTTTTACTTTGTGACATTAGTATGCAAAAATACTTGGCACAAGTTTTTACATCTGTCTATCTATGATCTATCTATCTATTTTATCCATCCATCCATTCCTCATTCTGTGTAATCTATCTGGGATAGGAGACAATCTCTTTGATGGACAAAAGATTTATAGATAAAATTATTTTGTTTCATTTTGCCCATTTTATTTATTAAAAAAATGCTATCTTTCTAGTATAACTAAAGCAGTCATTGAACAGGAATGTGTGTAAATCATCCATATAAATAACATCATGTATAAAACCATATCCCAAGTAACTTTTTTCAGTCTTTCAATCTTAAATCAAAAGCAAATGGAAATTGTTCTATTTTCTTTCGCACATAATCTTTCTTTTGCCCATAACTATAGTTCTAGTTGTTGATCATTTCTACTTAATACACAGATTGCTTTTATGTTTTTACATAGAACTTTAAGTTATGCTCTTTATTTTCTCTTCATCAGTTCCAAACTCTGAGAAATGTATTTCTCACATTTATTTTTAATTCTTCAGAGATATAATAAGTTAATTAAATTAACAAA